ACTTAACCCTCTCGCTATGGGTAGGTTAAAACACTTTTAGAAAGTTACAGTAAATTTAATTGAACTTCTTTATTATCATTGTATATGAATAAACTTGGCATCAAAATGTAGTTAACAAATCAAATCTTAATATTGTATAATTTTTAAATTCTTTATTTTATCAGGAAATATTTTAATAAATTCTCAATCTTCCTTACATTGAGAATTGTGACATTTGTTTTCTAGGCTTTCACTTTTCTCTAATTTGTTTACCACCCCTTTGAGAAGTACAGGATTTGATGTAAATAACTCATTGTAATATAGATAATATCAAGGCAAAGTATAATTGTTATAGCCTTCAAAATTAGTTGTTTATGAAGCTATGAACCAGAAAAGCCCTCTTGCTACATTCATGTGTCACTTCTTCTTTTTCATAAATTGCTAATAGCTCTGTCTGACATTTTATACTATATTATTATTAATAACAAACAGAAAGCCAAAGTTTTAATTTACTGACTAACTTCTTATATTACATTTTGTTTTTGGACTGAGAATTGTCTATTGTGCTTTCAGTTTGAAACTTTTTCTCATGGTATTCACATCAACAAGCATAGCTAATTGTTAAAGGCTCTTATTACATAGATAGAAAGACAGGTAAATTATCATAGTTATAGGACATTTTTTGCTTTGTGTGTGTTATTATTCTGTGTTTTTAGGTACATTATTTAATTAAGTAAAAATTATTTAGTGTAGTAGTACCATTAGTTTAAAAAAGTAGGCTTAAGTTCCATTGACAGTCGACAGCAAATAAACAACAGGATCCAGGTAAGTACTATAGTTCTTGTTTTTCATCTGTATTCTTTATTTATTATTATAAAAGTAACTAAGATGTAAAAGTTAGAAACTTATTAGGTAAGGTTAAAATAGGTAAGATAATGAAAATAATAAAGATTATTCATGAGGTGTGCTTGTGCATTGCATAATTTGATATAGTCATGTCAGCTACATTCTCTTGGTGATTTACAACTTGTGTGATGAGATTACTAGTTTCACTGTTCAGAGAGCAAAAAAAACAACAAAAAACTTATAAAAAATGTATACTGTGAGGTTTAAGCTATTTTGATTAAACAATTGTAGTTTCATGTTATGATTTGCAGCCATTCTAGAATGAAAAAAGGTAATTTAGATTTATTTCTTTTTTATGGTGGTTATGAGGTTGATTAAATTGACTGAATGGATATTGGGTTAGGGTAGAGAAAATAACAGATAAAATATAAAGTTTTGCAAAAAACAAAAGATTGATATTTATTTAGGAGGTTTTAGACATTATGCAAATGAAATTTTACAATTTTCAGATAAAGAAGTATTTATAATCTTAGTATGAAAATCACTTTGCACTTGGAGCAGTTAACAATTTGACTCCATATATTCACGGAGAAAGTTTTATTAAAAATACTTGATTAAAAAAACTGATTTTTTGTGTAAAAAAAGACTTAATGTTTACTGAAAGATTGGCAAATTTTGGGAAGATACACAAAACATATTAAAAGTTATAGTATGGATACTCTGGTCACTTTGGGATCACAAACACAGTCAAAACTGAGTATGTTAAAAGTTTGCCCTATCTCCAGGTTTGTGAACCTTTTGGCAGATTAGTTTTATCACATCTGGTTCACATTTTACTCAAAAAGTTGGTCTCTCATCTTGTGTTGCCCTTTTCAGTGGCTTTATAATCACCGTGTTGTTCTGTGATTGATGTTTTTATGATTTCTCTCAATCACAAATTACTTATTTTTTGGATTCTAGTAATAGATTTTGTAGTTTGGGAGTAGATAGATGCTTTAATTTACAGTTAACTTTTTCTGGTCATTTGTTTAGAATTTGGATGGCTGCATCAAGCTTGGGTTGTTCCTTATGCCTGCTAACAACTTAGCTCTGTTTTGGGTTCAGGCTTGGAAAAGGTACATGACTTGTGTCCATCTGATGGCCAACACTGTCATGGTATCCAGTTTTTCCACTGTTATCTTTGTAAGACCACCTTCTATGTGTACACTTCTGTATTAACTATACTCTTTCAAACTATCACAAAGTATGGTGGAGCTGGGCAGCTCAATTGATATTATGAAATACCTGTTCATTAATCAAAATTATGATTAAATAAATTAGTTTATCAAACTTGTACTTTCTATTATTACTTTTTTTTTTTTCAATTATTCCAAAAGTTGTTTAATTGATAGTCTCAGAATAAATTTCCATTGCTAACAGACTTACTTTTGCTGCCAACTTTCTTTTTTCTTCTTGTACATGCCTTGGTTTGTATTTGTATGACTTGCCTTAATGTTTTGGTATTAGCTGTCTCATAATTATTTCAGTCTTTCATTAGAGATTATTTATTGAATTATTTCAAATTGAGGTTATTCTTACAAATTTTGGAAAGTGGATTCTTCAAAACATTTCTTCTGCTTTTGGTGGTAAAGTTCTTTATGATGTTAGGGTTGCTGCCTTGCTGTTTTCCTAACTCTGAAAGGTTGTTTAACCCTTCCATTACTGGTTGGGTGGAATCCACCCAGCTCGTAACCACGAAAGTGTCTGTTAGAGTTATTATACTATGATTTTTGATAATGTATGCTATCTTTACAAAATTTTGCAGGTTATTGGTAAACATTACAAGGTTTTCATACACAAAATATCAGGTTTTTAAATTAAGTATTAAGATTTTTTAATTAAATATTTTCTCATAAACCTTTTTCTTTCAGCAAATAGAAAAAATGAGGTTCTTATTTTACATTCTAGCTTGTCAATATAAATAGTTTGAGTTCCTAATTTGTATGAAACTGTGTGAACCAGTGCTGCATTCAACATACCAGGTGACACACAAAAATCGATAGTTAGATGTGTTATTTTAATATTTACCTTTAAGTTAAGTAATTAACTAATAATATAATACTAAAATTTGAATTACAATCTACAATTTTATACCAAACTTATTGACATAAGTTCATAAAATAGTAGTTCAGTAAAATTTTTAATGCAAGTCAACAAACGTGGTGACATGACCTTTGACACATGACCTGTCACAATATGGTTAACATTTGTGAGACTACATTCCTATCTATGAATGATCCCAAATACATTTCCTTTAAGATACATCACTTTATACTGCTCTTCATGGTGGAGTTAAAGGTTTTTTTATAGAAAACTTAAGGATTTTTTTTTGCCTCAAACAAAATTGCTGATCATTTTACTTTCTGCCATAAAGAAGGTCTCACCCATGTGAAAGTTTTTAATATGCAGTAGTGACAACTTCAATGACATGTTACTGTTAGATATTGAGATAATTTTTAGTATGTGTGCCATTGTGTATTTTATTTTGTTTATTTTCTGTTTAGGAATATTTATTGTATTTTTCTTTTTTGGACTGTGGTTTGGTCCAAGCCTAATGTCGTGTCAACAGTCTTTTTATATATGATAGACAGTGCATCCTGGGTTTGTCAAATAAAGGAATATATTATATAGCCTTGTCCTCTGTGTGTGTGTGTGTGTGTGTATGAAAACAATGTGGGATTGCTGTAAGCCTTTTCTAACATTTGATCATATAGTTTCTGTTAAATATTATTGCTTTTTGTTAACTCTCGTTATTGTAGGTATTCTGTCTTTATGTAAATGAGAAAGTTAGTTAATGTATGACATTATATGCCTCTTTGTGTTCCATATCCACTTTCAGCTCTCGGAAAATATAAAGATCTTAGGTTGCAAGCACAGGCTAGCCTTTTCCTGAGTATTTCCAAACATACAGAATTGGAAATAGTTATAAGAATTTCATTTTTTGAAAAAAAAGGGTTATATTTTGGTTGTGTAGTAATTTATTCATAGCATAGCTGTTGAGTTACTATAAACACTTGAATAATCTGTATATAAATGCTTTATAGGCCCTGTGCTCATCTTGTCAGTTGACATTTACAAATGTTTTATGATTTTTGCCTTTTATTGAAAACAAATTGTCAATAAAAAATGGTGTTCAATTTATGTTTTGGAAAAAAAAGTCACAAAATCTAGCTAGAAACTTCAAATATGTTATTTATCCACCATTATTATATCTGGTCTTTTAATCAATAAAATAATCCAGTATATATATGATAAACACGTGTCATTAAACTGTTGATAATTCCATCCATCGTACATTAAAGTTCTCTTGCTGTTGGTTCCCTCAGGTGATGTACAATTATTGAATTAATAACAGTTTAATACTTTTGTTTTGACATTTGTAATTATTGCCACCACCATCAGTGTCTGCTGTGTAATTCAATTAGGCTGTAACACCAGTAGTTAAACTAAGCAGTAAGTAGTGCATTTTGATAAAAAAAATATCATGTTGTCAAGAAGCATGATTGTTTGTTTCCTCATGAAAAAAGATTAAGGAAATTATGAATTTAATTACTGTAAACATCAAAGACAACTGATGACACCTCGTGTCATACTACAGATACCTTCTTTATGTTATTAAAAACTTGATTAGAAAATGTTGACTTGGAATTGGATTGTAAGCAGTTAAACAAAGGTTCAAGTAAAACATGTTTGATCAACAAACTAGTTTTTATTTTATGTCAAACTGAAGTTACAACTGGTTTTTCATGTTCTTGAGAACAAAGTGTACTTACTGTTAATAAAATGTATTTCATATAGGATTTATAAGTGTTTAATTTGGTTAATGGGATTAATGAAACTATATTTGTGTTCTTTAAAATAAAGTGCAATGAATTTAAAAATTGAAATGAACACAAACTTATTTTATTTTCATACAAATAAATTATTCAGTATTTTGATGTATACTTTCTTTAGTTCTTTTTTCACCTCATGTTTGAATTGTGTGCTAGGTTTATCTGTTGAATTTTTTGTCAAGCTGTAAATTAAAAACAGCCAGTTTAAGCCCTGAGAGGGCTCACTCATACTTCATTTTTAGGTGGTAAATGTTCAAAGAAATAACACACAGAACCTCTGATATCCAGTATTTTCTTTTTTAGGCTTTCTCCATATTTTTTGTGTTTATTGCCCTGACATCAGATATGATATGCTTTCTCTTTATACCCGTTCAATGGTTGTTTTTTGCAGCCAGTACATATGTGTGGGTGCAGTATGTTTGGTACACAGGTAAGTTTTACTCACTTTTACATGTGTATTTTTCTTCTGTTGGTTAAGGTAATACTACAAACTAAACATCTATTTTTAACTTTAATTATTCAGTCTGTTTTAGAGTGGCAGTGTTTGTAGTTTATAGTTTGAAGTACTCAGTCTTAGGTTAGCACAAGGCTAAAAAACATCAGCTTTCTTTAGACCAAAATTGTATATGTAATAATACTGTAAAGGAAGATGCACATATTTCTATGGCAGTCTAATAAAATGGATAAAGTATTTGTCATGTTACTATGTGAGATTTAAATTTTATCTTATAACACACTGCAGTCTAGAGATGGTGGATATATGTTGTCTTAGATAGATAAAGTAATACACATGTTAGGGTGGAAAAAATAACATAAAAGAATAATCTTTAATTAATTGTAAGTTACTGGACCAAAATGTATCCGAGCATGGGTCTGTGGGTGTATTATGAAGTTGACAATTAAATCCCATTATTCACTCAGCCAAAAGTAATTCAAGAGCTGGTAGTGGATGGTGTTGACTAGCCGTCATCTCTCTTACCTGTCAGTATCTGAAAACAAATGCACATAGATCTAACCACTGTGTTGTAGCAGTAGAACTAATCATTAGTAAATAGTATTTTAGACAGGTTAATAATAGTTTATCATGACAGTTTTAAACAGGTTTTACAAACCTAATGAGGCTCATTATTTCATAAAGAATTTTTTCCTGCAATTATGAGTTAATAACAAAATAACATAGAATTAACTGAATGGGTATTTTATTTAGCTGTTTACATTTGTTCTTCTTTTCAAAAAATACAATTTAACATATATACATTTGCACATATGCATCACAATGAATTTAAGAAAGGTATTTTATTCTCTTACATTTTCTCATGAAAGATATTCTTCCGATGTGCTATTTTATCAGAATATACTACTTATACAGGCAGTCAGAGTTCCCTCTAAGCTGCGCGGCTGCACAACAATCAACCAAGTGCTGCACACTTCATTACTCCAGCCATGTACATCCTCAGTGATAGTGAGGACTTTCAGTGTGATGATGGCCTATGACCCTGGCAGTTGGTAGGCCTAATGATCAAATAGTGTTAATGGTCTATAACCCCCCCCCCCAAAAAAAAAAAATTGGAGTGCACATATGCACATTACATTACCTTGATACTGGTGCACGTGAAAAGATTCATTCCGCACATGGATTGAAAAACTTTGAGGGAACGTTGCAGGCAGTGTATTGTTTCATTTAAATGAAGAATCAGAAACATTGTGCACTGATAGACGGGTTTTTAGAGTTTTATATGTCTAAAGAAACAGAGAAAGAAATGTTAAGAAAAGTAATTTTACTTTAGAAAACTGAAAGAAATGTCTCAGCTGACATTTTTTATTCTCAGGGGATGATTTGTCACAGAACTTAAGATTTGTTCTAATTTGCAGAGGAATTAGATATCAGTTATATTTAATGATGCACAAAAACTGTATCTCTCTTTATTTTTTAGATTTATTACCAATTAATCGTAATCCTAATTAACTCACATTTGTAAGTGGTATAATCTAGAAAAATAATTGTATATATATGTATATACAGTACTGCCTCATTATAACGCCGTCAGTTATAATACTTTCTTGGATATAACACTGTGGTGCCTTGGCTCCTCAAAATTTGGTATGATCTGCTGCTAAGCTCATTGCCACATGGCTTCAGAGGCTAAAGTCATTATACATTCTGTCACACAATAAAGGAAAAAACTGGGAAGTCCTAAGTGCAAAGCCCAGAGATGTGATTATCAAGTTCACATCTGAACTTGATATCGAGATGTTGGAAATCAAGGCAATAAAGGAACTTGGAAATATGAATCAATTGTTGAAATAACAAGAAAGTGTCATTGATATAGTGTTCGTAAAGGACAGGTTTAAAGTCACGTGGGCAGTTTTCTGGCCAGTTACATTCATGGTAGCATAGAAAACTATTGGCTATCATTGGACCCAGTGGGGATTCCATCTATCTGGTCATAAATGACATCATTAAAGAGGAAATGGTTTAACCTTGTGGAGAGGGCAAGAAGTTCCAAAAATTGTTCACAGGTAGATCCAGATACTGCTCCGTGTCAGAAGGAAATAGAGATGCTAATTGCAGCAGGTTTACAGCAGCATTAAGCTTCCTCACTTTTGGCACAATTTTAATTATCTAATGAAAATTACGATTGTTTTTAAGATGATCTTGAAGAAGTTTTATAATGGATGGAGTGACAACCAATGGCTTTTCCAGGAATTGTGATGCATATGCGAAATGTTCTACATTATATTTGGAAAGAGGCTCAAAACCAAATGAAGCAGACTAAAGTATCAGACTTTATAAAGTAAATTAGTGAACATGAGAGTTCTTTGTTTCTGAAATATTGGAAAGTTTGTGTTCATATTTTATCTTATCTATGCTCTTTTTATATCTATTTTCCCTATGTAAGTAAACAGTTATCTTGTTTAATTGATTGCTTTAGTAATCTGTAGAATCTGTATTTGTTCAGCAAGAGTGCTTTCTTGACTAGTTGACTATAATGCTCCCACACCTGTATTACTGTCGGGTACACCTGGCTCCTGATGGTAGCGTTGTAGAATCAAATATTAACAGATATAACAAGTTATTAATATTTTGATTTTTTGAAAATTTTTGAAAACACACTAGCAGCCTGATACCATAGCAGAAAAATTAGTTTGTCTATATGCCCACATACAAGTGACTGTTGTTATATTACTAAGAATTCTGATTATGAATATGAGAAATAAGACTGAGTGAAGTAAAAAATTAAGTTTTCTGAACTTTCATAATTGATGTGAAGTTAAAGCAGGAACTTATCCATACCTGGGATATATTGATGCATCTTTTATTTATGTCAAGAGGAAATTCTTATCTTGTATTATAGTAACATTTTGTGAATTTGTTTGTTGCCACACTTATAAGTTTCAGTCCATAAAATTTAGTTTTTTTAGAAGGTTAAGATACCTCAGTTGTCAGATTTGCTGCTGTGATTTTGAATTGTTAATTACGCAAACTATAGGGTTTAAGTTTGGTTATGTAATGAACCCAAGTTATTCTTGTAATTAGTTGTTAGTGCCACAGGAAGAACAAAGGTGCTGTATTTTATTGCTAGATGGACAGGTGATACTATAAATTTGTTAATCATAAGCAAACAATATGTATTTAAAGCATTTTAACTTGGTATGATGTTAACTTAGTATTTCTTTTTTTTAACAGAGCGAGGAATTTGTCTTCCATCAATATCCCTTTGGCTCCTTTTTGTGTATATAGAAGCTTCTGTGAGGCTCAAAGAACTTAAACATTTTCCTTTTCATTTAGATTTGTGTAGACCCTTTGCAGCACATTGGTGAGTAACTATTGATGTGATTTCTGAGTAAAACACTAACTTGGTGCTTCTTGTAGCTAAGATTCATTTGGTGATCATTATGGAAGGGACCAACTAAAGAAAGAAGCTGCTTAGAGTTAGCTGTAAATTAACCTTTAAAGATAAGAAAACCTTGTTAAGTCTTCTGATTTTTTTAATATCAATTTTTTAAAATCAAAACAATGGTAGCTGATGATTGATAAAAAAAATGATGTAACATAGTACAACACAATAACAGGAATATAAGTATTGAAATTATAAAACATATATATTGTAAGATTCAGTGTCTGTGTGTCATGTAACTCCCCTTAAACCACTGGTGCACCAACTTCTAAATGGTACCAAATAAATTGTCTCAGTCCAGGGGTTTGCACAAAGGTAAAACATTTCATCCAACCCTTTAGGAAACCTGGATGTTTTGCAAAAACACTTCTATGGGGATTATCCAAATACTGACACTAAATTTGGTATTGATTTACATTAGAGCATGTAAATAAGTAGGCCTACTAATTACCATTTCTACCATTTTGAAATAAATTAAATTTGTATTATAGCAGTAATGATTATTAAACTCAAAAAGTGCAAAACAGTAGTTCAAAATTTTCTGTGTGTGTGTGTGTGTGTCATGTAACTCCTCCTAAACCACTGGTCACACCACTCTTTTAAGTGGTACCAAACAAATCATCTCAATCCCAAGGTTTGCACAAAGATAAAATTTTTCACTCCACTTATTGAGGAACTCAGGGATTTCCCCAAAACCCCTTTCTCAAAACTGCAGGGCACCACCAACTTCTAGGTGATGCCCAAACAAATTGTCTCAGCCACGAGGTTTGCACAGATGTAAAACTTTTTCACCCAAACCCTCAGGGAACTGGGGTATTTTGTGAAAACACTTTTGCAAACCCAAAATTTGGCATTAATTTACATTAGAGCATGTAAATAAGTAGGCCTACTAATTACTGTTGTAACTTGATTAAAAAAATTAAACTTGCATTATAGCAGCAATGATTATTAAACTTAAAAAGTGCAAAATAGTAGTTCAAGCATTAAGTTTGCTATAGGCCTAAGGGTTCACTAATGGATTAATAAAACTAAATGTACTAAAGACCAATAAATGTATAATTTACTTAAAAATTGGATGGTGGATATTTAAAGCCCAGAAAATGTGATATGTTATAATACTGAAATACAAAACTTGTAAGAAACTAATTACATGCTAGTGAATGACAGTTCTAATTTTTAAAATCTACAACCTAGCTTTACTGCTATTGTAACAGTAAATTGTGGAATTTCTAAATTGTTTAATTAATTTGTTTACAGTTAAATACATGGAATTTTTATGCAGTTTTTAAGAAAGTAAAGATTGTTTTGTGAACTATTGAGTTAGTGATCACCAAATGAGTTGTATTATAGAACTATGCTATTCTGTTATACAACTGTTTGTGATTGTTATTTGTAGTTCTGTGTTAAGAGTTTGGATGATGGGCATAATTTTTGAGGTGCTTTGATTGACTAGTCATTGTTCTGTAAGAATAACATTTAATCCAGGATAAACTCTAGGTTAACAGTGAATTATAGGAAAATACTATTAGACTGTTGAAGAGAGAGATATCAACAGAGTTTTCAAATAAGATTAATTTGGTAGGTACAGTATTACATGTAGATTTTTTTTGCTTGCTCCAAACAAACTAATGTAGTTCAGTGAGACTAAGTGGAAGTGTCATTATTTTGAGATAAGTAACCTGATTTCTTGTATTTCAGCACATTAATATGCTAAATTGACTGGCATTCCTTTTAGGTGAATGATTGCTAGAAATTATAATGACTAAATAACTGCTGCCTAAGATATAATATTAGTTTTAATGTACCTATCTGTTCTTAAGTTGTCACAGTACTATGATGAGTTTAATTAAGAGTGTTTAAGAATGTAAGTTATGTTGAAAGAAATATATGAATATATCACCCTTTTCATTGTTTTTTTCAGCATCGGTTATCCTGTTGTGACATTGGGGTTTGGGTGTAAAAGCTATATTGGTTATACATTGAAATTAGTAAGTGTGGTTTATGCAATTAATCATAAATACATGAAAAAGGTTTTGTAGTCATTTTTTATTAACACAAGAAACTTAAAAACATTATGAGCTACATTTATGATATTAATTTTACTTTAACCCATAGGGTTAATTCATTGAGCACCACATTGATATTTTAAATTGACTTTTACAGTGTCTCACAAGAGTGTGACATTTAACACACACTATTATGTCTAGTTAAATGAAATTGAGTAAAAAAAGTTGAAACATATATAGCCTATAAAAATAAGTCAGTCTCCATTTGTTAAATTTTGTGTTCTGTGAAGTTTGCGTTTCATTATGTTGAAATATGCATTGACCTAGACAGAATCTATTCGTGTTGAATGGAAAAATGACATAAATTACACTTCTGAAATCTTCTAAATATGTGCATAAACATTTTGTGATAAATTTGCTAATATAACAGTATACATGATTTTTTCTCTGTGTATATATATATATATATATATATATACACCTCTCTCACACCCACCCACATACAATAGACTAATGTACTTTAATATTTTTAAACTGTTGAAGAGGGGAAATGTCAAGAGCAGATACAATGCTACATGTAGGATATGTTTTAGTTTCTCTAAACAGCATAAGGACTAACATACTGTGGAAAAAATATCTAAGAAATTATAAAAGATAAAATAAAAGCCCCATGCATAAATAAATATAATTAGAATTAGGATATAAGCTACAATACGTATCTTGGTAAAAGAGGTATCTGTAGAATGAAGATTGATAGTAGTGGTGATACATCACGTATAAGGTTTAACTTCCATTTGTAAGCCTCTTACTTGAAATGAAATTGGAACTAAAAGATAAAACTTAAGAATTAGGAGCAATATCTCATTTCTAAAACAATCCTTCACCATCTGTAGGTAGTTGTCCCTATTAAAACCAAAGAATAAGAAAAACTTGTATCATGAAGTTCATACAAGTGCTCTCGCCAGGTGTCGGTAGAACCTAAGATGTCTGGCAGATATGTGTTAGATAGCATAGATAGATAAAACAATTATATACATACCTACAAATACTCTAAGAAAAATTACACATTTTCTTTGGATATCACAAAAGCAGATATGTATGGAATTTCAAACTAATTTATTAATATATTTAAATTTATGCATCCTTATAAATATTATTTTAAAACATATAGTTGAGTTTCTATATTAAATAAATAATTAAATAATATTTTTTATATTTATTTTATTTATTTCTTCTCTTATTTCTGTTTGTAAATTTTAAGTAACTTTGGAGCCATATAATTACAATGCTTGTGCATAATTTATTTTTTACAATGGAATGTATATAAATCCCTGATTTCTAATGCTATAAAGATGTTTTTATTTCCATAAATATACCATGCTTCACTATATTATTTATTGCATTAAATAAGCATAATGCCTTAATGGCATGACATTCGGTAATCTACATTTTTCAATATAATTTACATAAATATTTCTATTTTATGTTATTAAACTTATAAACTTGTTTTGCATAACAATTGCTATATGGATAACATTATAATATGTCCCTCTCCAAATCATTATTCCATATCGTAACACTGAATGAACCCAAGAAATATGTATAATTCTTAACATTTTCATATCAATACATTTCTTAATTTAATTTACACAATATATATACCTTAATTTTTTTAATTTACATTTTTATCAATATAAATCCCAAATACTTATTGCTTTCTTTCTCAATTAATTAATATTTAAACTATTTATATTATTACAATTTTTATTACTGTAACTGTCCTTTACATATACATAGTATTCGATGACGAGGAACCCACTTTGAGACTAATAA